AAGCCACAGTTGAACCATCTGGACTCATAGCCAAGTTGAGGACTCTGTCTTCATGTCCTGAAACGGATAATTTGGGAAGGACAGGAATTTGAACGTAGTTGTAATGTTTAACTGAAGCGTGACCACACAAATTTACAAAGTACAAACTCAAACTTGCCTTCAAGCTCTGCAACTTTAGTGAGAGAGGGGTATCTCCAGATAATAACCTTGTCATGAGCAAAACCGTGGCCAGACACCAACTCTTTGTAATTCGGTGCAAAAACGAGAGACGATACCTGGAAGCGAAAATGTAGTAAATGGATCACTTAAGATAACATTACCCGTTCCAGAACATGCAGGGATACAGTGGGTGAGCCTACCTGTGAACAAGTATCAAATGCACTGATACAAGAGCCACTGTTGGCATTCCACATGCGAATATGACGGTCACTGGTGCCCCCACCTGAGGCAAGGATGCTAGGCTGCCATGGGCACCATGCCAAAGCCTTAAGGGTGCAAAAGGGACAAAAATCTACTATAACCTCGGTGGCAAATCAGAGAGGGAAGAGGGGTTCACATTCCAAATTTAAGTTACCTTGACCGCTCCCTGGTGTTCACTTAGAGCATGGATGGCTTGATATTCCGAACCTGTCGTCATTGGCCAAATGTACACCATATTGTCATTGCCACCACTAGCTAAATATTTCCCATCTGGAGACCAGGTAAGACCACAGACTTCCTGAGTGTGCCCACCGAAGGTGAGGATGTGGTGGTCTGCAACTCGAACATCATGCTGATGAATTAAACCAGATCTGGAGCCACTGTGGGGAACAAAAAGTGTTAAACCCCTCAAATGCATATAATCTGCAAAGCGCAAGGGGATGCTGTCTTACCTAGACAAAACATGATCATTCCAACTCAAGCAACCAACTCTTGCCAAATGGCCATCCATGCTGCGGAGACGCTTTTGGTACTGAACATCCCATAACTGCAAGAAATTGTATGACACTTGAGAAATTCAGCAAACAAGATGGCAATTTGCTGAGTAATACCTTGACTGGTTTATGCATAATAGCTGCAATCTCTACATAACATCCATTATGAGAAACTGAACACTGGACTCAAAAAAGTGGGAACCACAGTATAAATTACTCAACCAGTTTGAGAAAAATCAATTACCTCGACTTTACAATCACTGGTCCCAACGGCCAAGAAATTGCCATCTTTGCTCCATGAGACAGAACAAATGTATTCATTCTCATCCTCCATTTTCTTCAATAAAACAATGCTCCCCATGCCAGCATCCCACAAATACACTTGGTTGGCAAGGCCAACTGCCAAAACATTCTGCCTTCCCCAATCCATCAGGTTTAGATCTAAACATAAATTTCAACATTAGTCTCACATAAATAAATCTCTTCAAATTAGGCTACATGGTGGAATGCAAAACTGTCTGCTCACAGAAGTCGTTTTTGATATCAGGGGCATCTAAAATCCGCTCTGGAACGGAGGCAATGTACCGGCTCTTCTTGATCGAAACCGGTGTGGGAACCTGACTGTAGAGAACCTTCAAGTTGTTCTGATAACCTGTGGGAGATGTTCGGTTCATTTGAAGGACATTACCAGGCAAATTAAACTTAAAGGGATGGTTCACCCAAAAATAAAAGTTGTCATTACCAACTCAAGTTTTCTCTTCAGTGTAACAAAATGACATTTTAAATAATGTTGGTAACCAGAGGCCCATTGACTTCCCTAATAGGGGGAAACAGGGAAGAAAAAAAAAACCTATTGAAGACAATGGGTGCCATCAACTGTCTAGTTACCAACATTCTTTACAATATCATCTTTGTTACACAGAAGGAAAAAAAAAAAAAACACTTATACAGGTTTGAAACCGCAACAAGGTGATTAAATGACAATTTTCATTTGACCGAACTATCCCTTTAAACCAAAAAGCCAAAACCAAGTTATTCAATTTAATAGTACTACTAAAAAATAAAAACCATACCCTCAGGAGCGTTTAGTGGCTTTCCTCCTAAATGCAAGATCTTTGCTTCCTCAATGTCATATCCATTTAGTGTCACAGACCAAGCTTTCTGATTTGGCTGAAAGGACATTAATTGACAGTCAGAAATCATCTATAACCTGATGTATTTATTATGATGTTTTATTGTAAAATATAATTACGACAACACAATTGCTATTATTAGGAACTTACTGCTGTAGAGGGGTCTTCCACCGGCTCATTTTCTTTGGAAATAAGAAAACTTGCTACATCCAACTGCTTGTTATTTCTTGTTGGGATGAATCGATCTCCTCCTGCCTTTGAGGGCGTGTTTTGGGTCTTGCCGTTCTTTCCTTTTAGAAGAAATTGAATATTTAACACTGACAACACTACAACCAACAATGACCGGTGGTAGCTCAACGACCAAAATTGTGAGGTGAAAACGTGAGAAGGATGATTTAATGGTAATAAAATTCCCAGTTATTCATTTCATGTCTCGGAATGTGTATTTCTTTCACAACTGGAAGTGTAACCACCGCAGGACTCTTCCCCAACTGTGTTGAATCTGTGTAACGCGAGTCTGAGGGGAAAAGGGGGAGGCAAAACCATAGCCAGAGACTATGGTAAATACTACTAGTAGTATTTTTTACTATAGTTAAGAGAGAGGGAAAAAAAACATCACCAGAGTATTTTACTTTTAACGACTGGGATGTTGAAAAAAAGACACAGGGCAGAAGAGGGTTAGCCTCCCTTGGTATATCAATCATTGGCGAGGTGTAAATTACATGGTATTAGTTTGAACTGCTACCGCTGAAGTACCATTCGAACAGCAGCTACAAATTAAAAATGAAGACAGACCCCATGGCCAAATTGCATATAGGTTACAGCATTCAGCTTTACTAGATGGTTTTCATATTTAGTCCGATATTTTAATGCGTCATAGGATTGTCAAGCACGATTTTAGTCATAAAATTGGTGTTTAGGGATATTACTGTTATTGTGAGGTACCCCATGATTCCCACCCCTAGAACAAGGTAAGTGAACGTATATTTATATTATCTTGCTGTATACGTGTCCTTTTCTAAATTCAAGAAGTATTCTGTTGACAATTTACAATAAGGTTCATTAGTTAACATGAACTTCACGTATACGGCACTAGTTAATCTTTGTTAAATGTTCATTTCAACATTTACAAACAATTGAATAAAATCTTGTTAACATTAGTTAATGCACTGTAAACTAACAATGAACAGCTCTATTTTTATTAACATCAGCTATGAGCAGTACATTTGTTTCTGTATTTTGTTAGTTCAAATATATTAACAGATGTTAACTAATGAACCTTATTGTAAAGTGATGCTAGTATTCCAAGTGACCAAAAAAGCCATTTTAAAGCAGCTACAACCCTTGGGAGTGAATTGGACCGCTAAAATGGTGTGCCTCCATTTTAAAACCCACCAGCCACCACTGACAAATGATCAGGAGCTGGACACATGTGACTCTTACCAGGTGTTTTACAGGGGGTTTTGGAAAGGCTCACTGATCGGTTGACACTCTTGTTTGGTGAGAGGGATTTTGTGTTGGTGGAGCTGGATGTGCTGGCTTTCCTCTGCCATCTTGCCATCGGGGCATTTGTGATAGGCATGTCCAGCCGGAGAACATTGTGGATGTCAGTCTCAAACCCGAACTGTGACATTACTGCTACAGAGATGGTCACTCTGATGGAGAAAACAAGACAGGATATGGAATCTGACCAAATTTTATTAGATAGACAGATAAATATAAATAAACAGAGTCTATGGTCAGGACCCACAAATACTCCCCCGTTGCATTAGTAGTTTAATATGGTACCGTACTAAGACTAAAACGTTGAAAACTTATATTGTTGCGATTTTGTATTGTGACACGATACATTGTTACACCCCTAGTAAATAAGTTAGTTATAAACGCAAAATAACGTTACAAAGTAAAAGATGATTGACGTTACTGTAGTGTCCACAACTAACGTTAGCTTAATTATAAAATATATATAATCTCACCACAAATCCAGCAACTTCGTTCCTCCGATGCACAACAAAATTGCCAATACAATTTAGCCGCTATTGTCTACGTGCAATTTTTGTGATTTATTTATTTATTTATTTTTTGTCCTTCCACAAGCAGAGTCAAGACTTATCTGCGGCGGTGCAGCAAGGTGAAGACAACTAACGGATGAACGCCAGTTTAAATGTCTTAAACGCGTGTCGTGATTGGACAATTCAAAAAACAAAGGTTTTCGCTGTTACCAAGGCAGCCAGGCAGAATGCTGCGCACTGATTGGTGAATCTCCTCATTGAAAACTTCCTGACAGTGTTACATATTAAGAGTCCTCCAGCCCCGTTTTTCAAGTTATGTCGTTAATCTGTTTTGTCGCTCAATGCTGGTTTTACTAATTTTTATTTTGAGAAAGAAAAAGGTATGACAGACTAATGTTTCTGAAAAAAAATGCATTCTTATTGAGTTGTTAACTGGAATGAGATTCACTTTATTTTGTGCTGGTAAGACTTTAATGTGCTCACAGAATTACAGCAAATACTCCAGTTTGGCAGAATTACAAGATAATTTAGAAAATAATAAGAAAAACACATTAAACAAGTTAAGTTATTACACACCGGAATGTGCAATAAATCAAGTAATATAAAAACAATGAACTGAATATTCCATTTATAGATTTGTAAAAGGAAACGTGTTTGAATATGTAAATATATGTGAATTTATGTTTTGCACAACGTCTGGCCTGGCATTCAGTGGAAATATTGAGATGGCATGAGAGGAGCATCTTTTTCAAAATAGTGAATGCTGGTAACTGCTTTTTTCTTGACTGAGGTTGTCATAAGCGGACCATCTTAAGTAATACTTACATCATGTTAGAAATATTGAAACGATGACTTTTATTTTTGGTGAGAAGAACGGAGAGTCCGTCACTTAGAGGTTAGAACTTTTATTTTGAAAATGCTAAAGACCGGTGTGGTCTGCCACTGTTGGGCGTGGCCTGTCTTCATGTTTTGTTGCAGTGTCAAAACAAATCCAATGATATGTGTATTTCTATGTGCCGCGCGGAGTTTTCATAAGAAATTCACTGAGGTAAATAAATGATCGTTTATTTACTTATTTTTTACAGTCAAACGGATATTTTAATTCGCCAGTATCACGATTCAGCGAATGAAATGTTAATGCATGTTTTTCTGTTGACTTGAAGTAACGTTACATGTAGTTTTCTGTCTGTGTTGATTGTCGTGTTGATGCTGTCACTAATTCCACATGATGTATTTCTTTGTTTGCGTTACATAAACTGTCAGGTTTGTGAATCGCCTCCTACGGCTCGGTAGGAAGGAGGAAGTAGAGTGGGTTTGCTGTTGACGAGGAAAAGAAACTAAACTCCTCTACATTTCTTTTCTGGATTATCTGGGTGAGTCAGCACAGACCACGTGTTACCAGCACATGTGACTGTCGTTTGCTTTGATAAACTTCCTCTGAGCCTGCTGTCAGTCAACGATAATCAACCTTCACGTTGCTATTTCGTATTTGCATGAAAACTTATTTCAAGACCATTAGATTAATCTTTCCTTAAAACCCTTGTATATTTATACATCACATTCTGATCTCAAACATTTAAGTGTTTTCTGTCCTGTAAAGAGTGGAGGAGTGGGAGTAGGTCGGGATGTTTGCCCGGAAAAACAAGCGAGCAGCGCCTAAAGGCCAAGGAGCAGCTGCAGCCAAACAGGTCAGTGTTCAAATGCTTTGCATATGATTGTCAGACAGTGAATGGTGTGAGGTAAAACATCTTAAAGCGACAGTTCACTTTAAAAAAGAAACCTGTCATTAATACTAAACTATACTAAATGACGACAAGTTTAATTTTTGGATTGCCATTCATACCTGTTGTTTACATTGGAAAGGGGCTGTGAGTTAGTTACCCTCAAATGATCTGTCCATCTCATTATTGTAATAATGGTACTATTTGGATCATGTGACATGTAAGCTTTTGTTTCGTTTAAGATGGGATTGTTGCTTGATTTCAAGCCTGATGATATGATGGGTATGGAGGAAGATTTGGATGATCCAGCATTAGAAGCGGAATTTGCTGCCATTGTTGGGAAGAAACCCAATCTGGCTGCCAAGGGGAAAAAGGCTGGCAAAGGTGGGCATCATGATTCCGCTTTCTTCATTTGAAATTCAAATGGTAAAATTCACATCATGAAATGAAATTAATACAGACTGGATCTGTTTGATCCAAACTTAAATTCTAAATGTAGAATTTGAAATATTATCACCTACTACATGTTGTGGTTGTGCCAAGATCTGTATTACCTGGAGAGATGTACATTAGCATTCCCATTCATCTCAGTGGCTGTTGCTCAGCTGATGCAGAATTCCCCAGAATGACATAATGACAGGAAACGTACTTATTTAATGACAAAGCTGATGTATACACACATTCCTGGGCAAAAATGGCCTTAAACACTAAGCTTTGGTCAGGAAATTAACGAAATTTAAGTAAATGCTCTATTTAAAAGGTTAGGGTTAGGGTCAAAACGTTCATAAAGAGATCGTAAAACGAATCAATTTGTATTGAGCGAGATCACATTTTTTTGAAGAGACACAATTGCTCTATATGATGAACAGATACAAATTTCAAACTGTGTTTTTGCACCTTTGCACTTTTGGAAGGGGACGCCATTTGTAGGAGCGTTCCAAACGTAAGTGAACATCTGAATCACTCCACAAAGGGCCCCTCCACAGGTCTGTTAATGAAGGGAACATGCAGTGGTCACTTCAAGGAAATAATTGAATAATTTATGGCCCTTCGAAGTGAGTAGGGTATAGGGATGCTCACTTCCGATTGGAATTTACAATTTTCTGAAGGTCCTGGAAATGTTTTGTGAACGTTTAAATGAATTTAACTTGATCTTTTATGTTCAAGCTCCTTTACCAATGGAGGATATTGAAAAAATGGCAGAGGCTTGCATGAAAGACATTGATGATGATGACGATGAAAGTCTGGAGGAGGACGAAGACCTCTTGGTAAATTAAACTTGTGTGTTTTAGTTTCGTTTTTTGGCAGTTTCTCATTTATCCCTCTCAGCACCTTCTGAATGTGTAACGTTTGTGTTGCGTTTCTCGTTAGGCTGAGCTGCAGGAAGTGGTTGATGAGGAGGAAACGGAAGACTCAGGTGCCGCAACCCCAACCTCCCTTCTTAGTGCGGAAACTCCTTTAGCAGGAACTACACCAGCAGCTCAGGTATCATCTAAAATGTATTTAGGAAGCTGTAATCTATTTGTACAGTTGTTGTATGAAAGTTAGATTTAATCCTTTTTTTAAAGATATGTGTTATTTTTATGTGACATGTGAAGGCCAACTATAGTAATGGTAACCCATACTCAGAATTAGTCCTCTGCATTTAACCAATCAGGAGCAGTGAGTAGTGAACACACACAATTAAACTGTGGACACACACCTGGAGCAGTGGGCAGCCATTTTTGCGTTGGCGCCCGGAGAGCAATTGGGGGTTAGGTGCCTTTCTCAAGGGCACCTCAGTTATTTCATTTCCTGTCGGTATTGAGAATCAAACCCGCTGCTTTGGGGTTATCAGTCTGACACTCTAACCGTTAGGCCATGACTGGCCCCTATTTTTTATTTTTTTTAATCATGTTGGTAATTCCATTCAATTGCTCTTAGAGATTGAGCTCATATACACGACCGTTCAAAAGTTTGGGGTCTCACTCTAAATTGTAAATATAGACATTGATTTTCTGTTAAGCTGTTTCTGAAACGGTATGTATTGTGAAAAGCGCTATACAAATAAATGTGAATTGAATTTTGTGTAAGTAATATGCCACTTCATATACAATTCCCCCACCCACAGGACACTAAGGCTTCTTCAGTTCCCGGGAGCATTGAGCACACCTTAGAGGAGAGAATAAACCTGTATAGGATGGCTGTTACCAATGCCAAATCTACAGGAGAAACCTCTAAAGCTCGGAGATATGAGAGAGGCCTCAAGGTCAGTGCGGATTTAGTGTCACTGCTAAAACAAACTTTGGATAAAGGAAAATAACTTTTTTCATGATAATTGATGCTCTCATATTCTTGTTTAGACACTACAGACTATGCTGGCATCAGTGCGAAAAGGGGGGAAGATAGACGAAACTGAGATTCCCCCTCCAGTTGCGTGTGGAGCATCTGATGGTCCCATTCGGCCCCCTGCCCCTGCAGTGTCACCGGATCAGCACGGGGAGAGTGACAGCGCTGTAGAGATCTCCCCCGTTTCCTCGGAAGCCGTCCCTGTTGTCATGGATACAGCATTAAACCATAGAGACGAGTCTTCTGGTGTAACGTCTCCAGCTTCACTGACATCTCCAGAAGGGGAACACGCTGGAAGTGGCACTGAATTGCACTTAGGTCAGTCAAGTGCTTTTGTCGTATCACAAAAGGAGAACATACACAACTGTTTAAAAGTTTGGGGTCATTAAGATGCTTTTATTTCCTTAAGGGAAATAATACTTTAGAAAAGGACACATTCAATTTATGTAAATACATTTTATAATATGACTTTTTTTCATGACTTTAAGTTTCTATTTTAAATAAATTCATAAATCTTCAGAAAATCCTGAAAAAAAGTTTCTCGAGCACCAAATCCGTGACCCTGGAGACTGGAGTGATGCTGAAAATCCAGTCTTGCCATCACTGGAATAAATTATATTTTAAAATATATGAAAATATGAACATGGTTCATAAAATATGAACATGGAAAATAGTTATTTTAAATTGTTGTTACTGTATTTTTGATTACATAAATGTAGCCTTGTTGAGCTTACTTTTTTTGAAAAGTCTTACTCACCCTAAACATTTGAATGTTAATGTAAAATCTTCAGAAATTCACATAAAATGTTCAGTTACATAACTTAGATTGTTAACCTTATATTATAATTTGTGAAGAAACTTTTCTCATTTTCAATATTGGACTTTATAATATTGGATGCGATTTTATGTGGTTATTGAGATCATACCAATTTCTACCTATTGATCACTATTTTAATACATACTTAAATTCATAATATAATATTCCTTTTTTTTATTAATATTTGACAGCAGTTACCAGTTTTGTGTACACAAGCTTTACTTGTGGAGCTTATATATGGCTTTCCTGGTTAATGAATAACCCTAAAAATTATGGTTTATGTTGATCATATCATTTGATTTGAATCATTTGTCATTTTCATTAATGCTAGTAGTCAGAGTTCAATGTACAAATGCAAAAAATATATATAGAAAAAAAGGTCATTGTTTTGTTCATTGGGTCATCGAGGCTGGATGTGGAAGGCAAACTATGTTGAAAATAAGGGTGTTCCCCTTTAAGTTGTTCCTGACTTACTAATTTAACTAAAAGTTTGACATTCTGCATAGCTGTTCTTGTAAAGACCGCATTGTGGTTTTCTCTGCTCCTAAAGCAGTCTCCACAGTCGGACAGCCCAATAAAGGCGTTCTGCTGGAGCTACAGAAAGAGTACAGGATGGCAGCTCTCAAGGCCAAACAAGCAGGAGAGATTGACCAAGCCAAAATGCATATAAAGGCCAGTAAGGTAAGATGTGGTTTCTATTCAAATGTATACAGCCATGTATTGCTAGGTCTGTGCTGTTAATTTCAAATAGTGGCATATATGTCAAAATTCAGCCTCCCCTCTCCTCTATTTTTGTAAATACAGTGTTGGAATTAGTTAATTAGTTTTACACAGTTGATGTATGAAGAGATTTGCAAATGTAGTTGTTTTCATTGTCATGTAAACCCTTTTGGTTTTATGTTTTACACACTCTTGTAACAGACGTGGCTTTATACATGTATCACACCCTGTTAATGTGTCTTTTTCCGTTTGCCTTCTGCTCTAATATGGAAATTTTGACTTCAACTTTCCAAAGAGTCTGCAACTCAAAGACTTTACTGTTGTCAAGTACTGTTTCAATTCGTGGCATCGACCACTTCAGCTATGTTGTCATGCAAGTTTGGATATTCTTCCTAACCGAGTCTCTTGTTCTCGTAAACCATGATTTCTAATAACTCACTTGTAACAAAAATGTGCTACGGTATTTAGGGTATCCAAGACTTGTAGGAAGTAGACAAAGAGAAGCTCTATGCTGTTTGCTTGTTTTGCTCAGGGATTCGATGCAGCAATTGAGGCTTTGGAGAAAGGACAGCCGATGGATGTGAGCTCCCTTCCGCCTCCTCTGTCTCAAGGTAAGAACTGAATTGTCATCAGTCAAGAGAATAACACTATATAAGCCCTGATGTGGCACATATTTGTTATATATTTCCAATGCATGTAGCATTGTAGAGTAAAGGCTTAATTCTTTTCCACAGCATCTACTCAAGCCGCACCTCAGGCTGCTGTTAAAATCATACCTTCAGCTTCTGGTTAGTACAACAAGTATTTTCAGAGACCTAGGAGTCTACGTTAAAGGGATACTCCACTTTTTTTTTGGGAAATAGCCTCATTTTACCACTCCCCCAGAGTTAAACAGTTGAGTTTTACCGTTTTTGAATCCATTCAGCCGATTTGTTTTTTTATATTTAGAAGAATATCAGTAACCAGACAGTTTCTGGTCTCATTGACTTCCATAGTAGGAAAAAAATATACTGTGGAAGTCAATGAGACCAGAAACTGTCTGGTTACTGATATTCTTCTAAATATCAAAAAAATCAGCTGAATGGATTCAAAAACGGTAATACCCAACTGTTAAACTTTAGGGGAGTGGTAAAATGAGCCTATTTCCAAAAAAAGTGGAGTATCCCTTTAAAGCAGCACTATGCAGGGGGGGGGGGGGTCGAGACGCCCAACATTCAACCAGTCTATAATAGTTATATAACCATAATGCAATAACTACAAAGCTATTCAGTTAAGGTAAAAAAAAAACTGCATAGTGCTGCTTTAACACTTTCAGTTTTCAGATTGACAACCGCATTTAAAGGGAATGTCCCATTTACAAAATGTCCCATTTACAAAGCACCTTGTAATAGCATCTCGAATACTGTCTGTGTGCACGTGCAACGGGAGTCAAGTCCGAATTCTGGTAACGCCCATAAAACTGAGAAGTCTCATCACTTTTGACACTACAAAAGTCCAATCAAGCGGCGACTTCGTCGATTCACATAGCGCATTTTTTCTGAGATTGTAGTCGTGGATTTACAGGAGTTTGGTTCGAGAATGCGGTTGTCACTCCTGTGAATAACTGAACTGTGTGTGAAGTTAATGACTTGCTAGTAGTCGAATACTTTCTCCTCGTCTCATTTTGAGTTTTTGTTATATCAGCAGACAGTGTTTCTGGCTTGGCTCAGCCCAAGACTGTTCTTGAAGCTCTGGAACAGAGGATGGCCAAGTACAAAGAGGCCCTCACACAAGCGAAGGCCAGTGGGGACGAGCGCAAAGCCCGCATGCATGACCGCATTGCTAAAGTTAGTAAAACTGTCAGAATGACACCTAAACCTCAAATAATGGTATATTGTCACCACTGGATGTCCTAGAACTTTCAGTTTCTCTTGCATCGTTTAGTTTTTAGAGTTTATTTCTGTGGAAATCCATTCAAGTTCATGTTAACATTCCACACCACATTTTACGCATAGCGGGGTGTTTGCACAGACATGTTGATTTTAGAGTATGTTCTTGTTTCTGTGGCCCATAGCAATACCAGGCTGCCATACGTGCCCATAAAGCAGGTCGACCTGTCAATTATGACGAACTTCCAGCCCCTCCAGGTCAGTTGAGTAGTCTGACTCTTTTGTTGTAAAAAAAGACCTTAGACATTTTGCTTACATAGTTTTGTGTGTATCTGCACTACCGTTCAAAAGTTCCGGGTCAGACAGAATGTTCAATGTTTTTGAAAGTCAATTTCAAATAACTCTTTTCCATTTTATATATCTTCATATCTTATATATGTAATTTATTCCGGTGATGGTTAAACTGAATTTCAGCATCATTACTCCAGTTGTCTTTCAGAAATCACTCTGATGATTTGCATCTCAAGAAACATTTCTTATTAATGTTAAAATAGCTGTGCTTCTTTAATATTTATTATTCTCTGGCGAATATAAAGTTCAAAAGATCAGCATTTATTAAGTGGAACACGTTTGTAGTATTATACATGTCTTTACTGCCACTTTGATCAATTTAATTCATCCATGCTGAAGAAAAGTATGAATCTGAATCTGAAAAGTCTATGCTCAGCCTAACGAGAAACGCAACACAAACGTTACACATTCAGAAGGTGCTGAGAGGGATACCTGAGAAACTTTCTGAATGATATGTATGCTGAGAAAATATTAACTTAAAGCATTCCCTATAGGCTTTCCTCCAATCCCAGGCCAGAAGGCCGCTTCTCCTGACCAGGGATTGGCTGCTGTCCTAGAAACTGCCAATAAGCTGACATCTAATGAAGCTGATGATGCTGAAGAGGATGATGATGAGGAGAAGGTATTTTCCTAAATTCTGTAGCAGTTCTTACAATAAGTTCCATTTTTTTTTTCTTCTTCCTTTTTTAAAGTACCGTAATGACCATAATGTTTTTTGATTTCTAGGTTAAGGCTCCAAAAGCAATAGACCAGAAGAAGCCCATTCTTGCAGTACAGCCTACAGTACAGAAGCCCAAGAGGACTCCTTCACCTTCCCCAGACAGAACATCCAAAAGAGGAAGTGTGCCTGACACCGGTAGACTTGTGATTTAAGATGGCCTTTTAATTGTGGTGCTGTTGTATTCATAACTGATTAATGTAAGAAGTGTATGCAAAATGCCAGTCAAACGTGTAGAAGTTACATATTTACTTCATGATTTGACTCGATTACGTTTTGAGGGTAACGATTCGATTATAAAACGATTCTCGATGCCTCACAATGCATCTTTTACTAATCGCAATATAGTTATTTTTATTAAAAAATGCACATAAAAAGCAGTAGAACAAATACAATATGCGAAAGAAACAAATTAAATTGACAGTTGTTCACTTTTTTTTTCATTTTACATTTGTTTTAACAGAAGCATTCAAGAAATAGTAAAGAAATTTAATAATCAAATATAACAAAAATATCAATGCATAGCCTTTAGTGTACTAATTGAAAATTAACAGATTATTTTTAAAGCTAAAAAGGCTATTTAGTTAAGAGCAGTGAGTGATTCCCTTGTTTTGTTGCTTGGTTAACATTAATGACAGACAGCTGCGGGTTTATTATATTAAGACCTAATGCGCGGATCTAATATAATGTCACAAATCCGATTTGTTCACTTAAAACGGAACAATATTTACGTGAATACTCGCCAAGAGAGAGATTTTGTAATAATTCTGTGTGTATCTGTCCGTTAAAGTGCAATACGCCTCCAGAGAGAACTGAATTTGTGATTGCATGCTGTCTGAAAGGCGTCTTTCTGTGTGTTCGCTTCGGGTGTGTGTCAGTCAGTACAAGTAACGCAGATCTTTTTCGTGGCTGATTGCGCTTCACACATCTGTTCTACATTATTTTCTCATTCGTGCATGTTCTTTTCTTAAAAAAGAAACCTCAGATGCAAGTGCTTTGTTCTCTAAGGCCACCCAACCTTTTTTTATTGATATATAATATATATAGCTCTACAAACAGGTTTAAATCTGGTTATTGTCTCCTCAGCTCAGCAACAGCTGGAGTTTCTGGAGGGCCTCAGGAAGCAGTACATGAAAGCAGCTCTGCAGGCAAAGCAGAAGAATGAGCTAGAGCAGGCCAAGACACTCCTGCGCACAGCAAAGGGTTTAGACCCCATGATAGAAGCCGCCCGTAGCGGCAAGACTGTGGATGTCAGCAAGGTAACCACACTGTGTCCGTGTTTTTATAACAAATTCTTTTAATTATGCTATATTAAAGGGGTGGTATGCAAGTATGATTTCACTTTTCCAACTTTAGTTAGTGTGAAATGTTGCTGTTTGAGCATAAACAACAGTATCAAAGTTACAACGCTCAAAGTTAAAAGCAAAGGAAGATATTTGCTTTTAAAGAAAAGGACTACAACAACCAGCTGGTAGGGACTACACAACATTCCTCCAGGGTTAGTGACATCAGCAACCCCAAAATGTACATAAACCCCGCCCCGGGGAAAACACACTCCATGTTGAGAAGAGGAAAAGTTGTTGTATAAGAGTACATTTGTTAGTCAGCTCAAACTTCAGCATCCATTTTTTCACATGCAATAGAAAGTCACTCTGTGTGCATCTCACAACAGATTACCATGACAGAATATCCTAATTGAAGATAGTTAACTCCACATCGACTAACCATTCAGAGACATCCTGTTGCATTCTACATTTTGTCACCTCTTCTTGAGTCTTTCCATCTTTGACTGACTCTGTTTTAACATTAAAGGGAGAACAGACACGCAAGCTCTTGAAACCCCGCCCTCTGCTGCAGCTCATTTACATTTAAAGGGCCAGGCACAAAATGTTGCGTTTTTGCAAACCCTCAAAAAGTGACAATTTTAACATGCTATATAAAAATAATTGGGGGGTATTTTGTGCTAAAACTTCACACACACTCTCTGGGGACACCAGAGACTTATTTGATCAGTAGGTGAACTCCACCTCCGACTCCGTTTCCCTCCTCAGCTGATATTAATATTTAAACATTCTCTATGATAAAAAATGTTTGTAAAAAATATTTTAATAACACGGTTTTGGCGGTTGTAGAGTTATGATGGTGTTCAAATACATAACATTAGACTAACGTTAGCCAGCTTATAGTATCTTGATTCAGTATGCTAGTATTTATTTGAGATATTGTTTTTTTATTAATTGAGCAGCAGAAAAAATATTCTTTATATTAGTCGTCCAATTAGTCATTAGATTAGTCGACTAATCGATAAAATAATCGCCCAACTAATCGTTTAGTTAATAATCGTTTACCCCAGCCCTACCTTGGATGCATGTAAACCTCTTTTTTCCCCCAGATTTATAATAAATAGCAGTCAACTTTTTCTCACAGTGTCAATCTGTTTGATAAACAATTCAGTCTTTCTAAACCCTTTCTTTCCGAGAGTCTACTCTGCTCTGATTGGTCAGATGGCCCAGTCTGATTGGTCTACTGCTTACAGCGCGTGTCAGAAACCAAATAATTTTTTAGTTCCTGAACTTCCTCAGCACTTACACACACAGTGACAGTAAACAGTAACAATGGCTTCAGTTTTACCGTATCAGTTTCCAGTCCTCATCCTTTGGAAGTGGACTTGCTTTTCCAGTGCAGAAAACAGCGTCTTCTCAACATGTCGACAACATGAGCCAAACTCTTCCAGGTCTCAGCTACAACTACAGTGTTTGAGTAGTAGAATTTATGCATGAAAACCAAAATTTTTACAAACCTACTTTTTACTAAATTACTGACGACTCCGTAGCATAATAGGGGCACTTTAACAAATCCATAATGATGTAATGATTAATAATCAGCTTTTATGCTTCAGGTGCCTTCACCACCTGGAGATGAGGATGAGGACTTTATTTTAGTCCATCACAGTGATGTTCAGATCTCAGAGAAGGCTGAGGAGGTCTACACTCAACTCACCAAACTACTCAAAGAGCAACATGAGGTAACAAGAAGGTGGTGAAACGGAGAGAACGGATCTGTGCCAAAGCCTAGTGAGCAGCCTTGCTGTTTACTGCCTACATAGGCAGCAACCTTTGAACTTGTTCTGAAACGAAAGTGAACGTTGTGTATGCACGCAAATAGCTTCTCTTCTGATTGCAAAAGTTTAATATTCATTTTCTGTTCAACAGATTGATACTCTAAAAAACATAAAAATACATAGTGGGTAAAACAGTCGAGTTATAATCAACAAAAGTATATTTATAGTCAATATTCCACAAATATCACTCACAAGAAACATGCTATACTTGATTCCAACATAATTTGCTATTAGCATGTTGCTATGCAAACAACAATATATGAAACAAAAATAAACATCAGGTAAATGTATTATATAGTCTATATTTCACAGGTGACATTGTGCTCCCATGCTATACAGTTTATTTTAATAGAGTTTGATATTAGCATTTTGCTAAGTCAACAACTATACTCTAATAAGCATAAAAATACACATTGGGTAAAATAGTCAATATATATTCAGTTTAAGTATATTTAAAGTCAATTTTCCAAATCGTGCTCACAAGAAGCACATGCTGTTTTGTTGATTTTAGTAGAGTTTTATTAGAATAAAAATGCATATTGTGTGAAATAGTAAAACGTTCATTTAGTTTAAATAAGTGTTTATAATCAATATCTTACTTCGTCTTATGATTTTTTTCCACTGAGCTTGTATCAGAGGATTCTAGGATAGCATTTCAATTGGGAGCACACCTGTGAGTCCCTTAAAATGTTGTCTGAGTACGTTGCTCACTAGGTTTTGGGACAGGAGCTTTAAGAGTATGTAGATATGTGAGTTGGACATGTTTCCTTTCTTCTTCAGAAATGTGTGACCTACTCCAAGCAGTTCACACACATGGGGAATGTTGCAGAAACAACCAAGTATGTATCGCATCGGTGCCCCAATTTCATTTAGTCAAATTCAAGCAATTTCAACAGGCATTTCATTTATTGCCATTTTCCCTTTTTTAGATTTGAGAAGATGGGTGAACAGTGTAAAAAGAGCCTGGAGATTCTTAAACTGGCGCAGAACAGGGGGCTTCAGCCTCCGAAACATCACTTTGAGGAGAGAACATATCGCACTGTCAGGTTTGACACTCTTTCTGCAGATCTCGCATTAATACAAAAATAAAAACCTAATACAGTAAGCACCCTCTGTTCACTACTGTTCTACACCACCATCAGGGGAAATGTGTGAAGTTTCATCAAGTATAATTTGTTTTCTTTTTATTTGACTTCTTTTGTTCTAGGATTTTTCCGGAGCTCAGTAGCACAGACATGGTTGTGGTTATTGTTAGAGGGATGAACCTTCCTGCTCCCTCTGGTAAGCTTTAAACATCTGGTCTTGAAAAATTAAACTAAGTCACTTTTGGATACAATGTATGCATAAATATATAAAAAAAATAATATACATTTGTTTAAAGTCAATTTAAGGCATACATTTTACATTTTTAGTATGAATGTCGCCTGGGAACTTTCTGGTTGACTAACAGAACTTAAAATTTCAAAAAAATTATGCAATCTTTAATAACCTCATAGAAGTAAGGAAATATCTTGCTTTTAAAGTCTTCCCCTCTGCTTCTTTTGAAAGGTGTTGCAACAAATGACTTGGATGCCTACGTTAAGTTTGATTTCCCGTACCCCAGTACAGTGAGTATTAGTTCTCTAGGCTTTATTATACCTTGTCATCCATTTGAGGTAATTATGTCTCTGTTCACTTTAGGATCAACCTCAGAAATATAAAACATCAGTCATCAAAAATACCAACAACCCAGGTAAAACGTTTAGCTATTCATTTTTGTATCAGTAAATAATTGGTATTATACAGTACCATTCAAATGTTTTGGGTAATTTTTTTTTTAAATATCATCTTAAGCTCACCAAGCCTGCATTAATTTAATCAGTAAAAACAGTAATATTGTTAAATACTATTACAATTAAAATCAATCATTCTAATATGCATATTTGCTGCTGAAGAGGCTTTAATATCTTATTATTATCAATGTTAAGTGCTGCTTATTTTCAAAACCATGATACATTTTTTTCAGGATTTGAAAAAAATGAATAGAAATTTCCAAAGAACAGTATTTACTTGAAATATAAATATTTTGTAACATTAAGTCTTCACTGTCACTTTTAAACAATTTAATGCATCCTTGTTTAATAAACATAATAAAGAATTAATTTGGAAAATTGACTTTTTTGGATTATTTTGCAATTATTACGTTCTGACTATATTATCCTGCTTTATACACATATACTTAAACAAATACATAAATAGAAATGAATATATACAAATTTAGATTTTATTATATGAGGAGACCACTGACATAAAAGAGACATGAAACTAACGCAACTATGCAGGAAATTGGTTGGCTGGAACACATGTACAGTTATTTAGTGATCATTGCACAAAAATATTTGACCGCAGGTCACCAAAATGAAGTATTATAGAGAGCCATGTAATTAATATTTGCTACTGAAGGTGTCAAATAATTTGGTGTTTTGGCAGAGTACAACCAGAGTTTCAAACTGAACATCAACCGTAACCACCGTGGCTTCAGGAGAGTTGTACAGTCTAAAGGCTTGAAGCTGGAAGTGTTGCACAAAGGGTGAGTGCTCCTCAGACAACAATTATCTCCAAATAATCCAAATTTTAGGATATTGACAAAAAATATAGTAGTTTCTTTAAAGGGTATATTTCAGGTTAGAGGACCCAATGGGTCAATGTATAGAAAAGCAATGTAGGAACTACATTTTCTTTAAAATATACTTATAAATACGCTACAGAAGCTTCTGGAATCGTTTTAGGCTCCCTCCCTAAAATGACACGATGTTGAAGCAGTTTTTATGAGCAGTCCAAGAAACGATCAGTTTAGCTACTAAATTAGTGCCCTCATGTCGTTTTAAAACATTTTAAATCCTGCAATAACTTTTCATATGGTATTTTCATACAAGAAATTTTTCATACATGTATATATATATTTTTTTTTACCTGCAATATGCTCTTTAAGCTTAATTTGTTTAAGAGGGACCCACAGGTCTAGAGAAACATCTGACCTGTGCTGACCTGATTGAACTCTGTGACTGGCTGTGGTGCATTCTGGGTCAATGTGAGTAGGTGGAGCTAAGCTTCACACTGACCTCTTTGTCTTGTTACAGTGGCTTCCTGAGGAGTGACAAGCTGGTAGGAACCGCCCACCTCAAACTGGAGAAACTGGAAACTGAAAGTGAAGTGAGAGAAATAGTGGAGGTGAGCAGGGCTGTTTTCGAATAGCATGTGCGTTAGAGCTGGAGACGAGAGTGCAAATCTCAGATGTGATAGCAAACATGTGTCAGATCAGCTTGAACTAAAACAGGACATTCACACACAATGAACACCCATAATAACCACGTTTACATTTGTGTATGCAGCTTATGGATGGGCGAAAGGGCACAGGTAGTCGTCTGGAGGTGAAGGTGCGTCTCAGAGAGCCACTGGGTGGGCAGGACCTTCAGACGGTCACAGAACGATGGGTGGTGTTAGAGGAGCCACAGGTTAGTGCTTCTGTCTCGTGACGAACAATCTTTCTTCCTGTTCTCTTGCTATTAAAAGTGATTAGTGTCACACTTGCCAAATATTTTTGCATTAAAGGGGACCTATTATGCAATATTCACTTTTATAAGAGTTTGAACAGACATTTTAATTAATTATTATTAATATTAAAAAGTAATAAATTAATTAATAAAAAATATTATTATTGTCATTACTCATTACACAAGACTGTTTTATTGTATTAGTTCAGGCTCAGTGTGAATAAATGCTTGTTCTGTATGTATTAATCTTACACAAACTACACTGCATCTGCTATTTTTATGTGAATTTTGGGATATCGCATAAAAAAACCGCTAGGATACATTCAGAAAAAGGGGAAAAAAAACATATAAGCTCAATTGAGGCAGAAAAAAATCTGAAAAAAAAGTGCATAAAATAAGATGGAAATGCATTTACGAAATATATTCTGGACACCCAACAAAAAACAGAGGATGTGATTGGATAGCTGGTCTAACCAATGGACCAATTTCTTTGCACACTGCACAACATCTCAAATGTTGGTTTAGACATTCTGAAATGCCAGCTTTTATTGCGTTTCGTTTGCACACTTTAAGTCACTTGTGACGTATTGAAAAAGAGCCACAGTGGCTTTCCTAATTCAGTGTTTCCTCTACATTCATTCTCCCGTGGCGGGCCGCCACACTTAAAATCCTCCCGCCACGGCTGCAGCTTCTCAGTGACGTCCGATATTCTGCATAGTATTATGTTATTTTGTTAAGCCCCACTAAAGGCATAAAAAACTTTGTAAAGCACAATCAAGTTTTCACCCTATATTCCAAGACTTCTAAAGTCATTGCATAATGTGTAATTTTAGTCGCTAAGTTAAAGTTAACGGGAAGTCATCTCGCCTCAGTCATTCTCCATTCAGAATTTACACAGCGCGTCCCGTTCGTTTGCGACACGACGACACTCTTTTCAAGGTCAATATTCCCATTATTATACTTCATTTGTAGATAAAGCATAAAGGTCTATGGTTTTCATAAAATGACTTTATCTTGCTGGAGTGGAGTTTATTGCCCATACCTTTCACATTCCCTTTATGTAAGATTACAGCATGGAGTCGAGAGAGTGCTATTGTTCTTCATGCGCACTGAAATTTAAAACTGTTAAAAGAAAAGGCTCAAAAAACTGTTGCATATAGAATACACTAAGCATTAGTGCTGCACGATTAATCATATCGCAATCGTAATAGCGATCTCAAACCTATGCAATTAGGCTATATAACGCAAAATGCCGCGATTTTATACGAAATAAACAAAATTAGGGCTATTAACGCAGCATCTCTTCTTTTTTGTCATCCTTTGACTAGTGTTACACGATCCTGCTCTTATTCGTGCAAATGCCTTTTCGCATTTTGCACGTCAAGAACTGAAAAGCTGCCTGTGAATGCCCTAAATGAGACTCGCAGAAAGACGCGCGCCATAATGCGGATGCACTGACGCGTGCCAGAATACAGTTCTCTTTCGAGCTTGAACGAACAATAACACACACAATTATGCCAAAATGTCGTTTTGTCGAGTATCTTCATAACGTAAGAAAAGTCTTAAGGACGAAAAGAGTTGTGCTATGAGGCGCGTGTGAGATCCGCGTCTCGGCAACGGGTGCTCTTAAAGCGCCAGCAGCGAATAAAGCGTTCTGTCAGTCAAGTTAAAAGAACAAAGGGAAATTAGAAAATTACTCACTGATCTTGACTAAATAACTTTTGTAGCTTTAATAAGGATTATTCTATATATAATTTATAATTCATTCAAGTTTGATAACTTTATTCAATTTCTGTATCAAGACAGGAAGGGCACAGGTAAATATGGTTTTTATTATGGGTTTATGTGGGGATTGTTTGAAGTTCACTTAATTTAAAAGTTGTTAAAAAATTTTTTAGCCTAATAATTTTTATAAAAAAGTTGATAGCTTTCACTGTAATGATGGTTTGGTTGATGGTTTATTGATCATTATAGGTGTTATCAATCATTTAGTTGTTGTCTGTAGTTTGAGTTGAGAAATAATCATTAATACACAGAATGATCACTAATCTGTGTGTGCATTTTACTTTAGAACCAAGCAAGTTGGACTCATGAAACCATTTTATTATATCGGAATCGCATATCACAATTGCAATATTGACCTCAGTAATTGCAATGGCAATATGACATTTTCCCCAAATCGTGCAGCCCTACTAAGCATATTATAGATATAATCCCTTCGCTATGTTCTTTTCAATGTGAAGCATTGCTTGCTGTGACTTGGTGTTGCTTCAAGTTTATCATTCTGCACACGGGATGCGCATGATCGATTATAATACTTTGGGGAGACAAGGCCCCCCCCCACCGGGGAAATGGGCCTGCCCCCACAGCTTGGAAAAATCCTAGAGGAAACACTGTAATTACCACAATTTCTCAGTTTTCTTGAGATAATGGGATGGAAAATGCTTAATTTACACGTTTTATGCGATATAGCAATTTTAAGCATGTTAAATTTGCAACTTTGGATGGAAACATAGCTACTGTAAGTTACATAAAATAATTAAATCTGTATGACAACTAATAGTCTGAGAGTACTTCATGATTCTGACAGTGATTTGGTTTTGACTGCCATCTGTTGTCTGTTTTAGCTACTGCTGTAACTGATGCTGTGATTTCATCTTCACAAAGTAAGAAAGTTTTCTCTATTTCTAATGACATTATCACATCCATGTTCCACTTCACCTCACAGTGGATTTTTCTTCTAGGTGTCAGTGGGTTTATCAGAGCAGAAGAAGGTATGGACGGTGAAAGCTCAACAGTGCTGCTAGCCTTGGCTACAAACCGAGCGACTGAGATCGCGAGGAACTTTTCTCAAGCCGTTCACAGACAGACATGGTCACTGACAAAGACCGTTAGCTTGGTTTTTTTTCATCAGGGTGAAAGAGGTTGGACCAGGATGTAACAGTTGGGGTGGTTATTAAAAATACAGGAGATCTTATTAAAAGGAGCTGGAAAATTTACACAGACTTGCGTGAGATTGATTTGCCTTTTAAATGGGCCTTTTGAGATAGATTGCTCACCCCAACTGGTACATTAAACATTGAAGCTGAAGCCAATGAGTCGAGAGCTAACTCCTCTTTTTTTTTTTTTTTTACTGCTCTGGGATGCACTTATGCACTAATGCCAAAGTAATCACTGCTGCTGCAGTAAGATGAATGACTTAATCTGTTCTCCCAATTCCTGTCATATCTCCAATACTAATGTATGACTGCTATGCAAATGAGCTATATGCGACCAGCTATGCAAAAAGGTTCGAGTTTGAATCCCAAACATTGTCAGACATTTCAAATCTTGTTTACACCTGATGTGAATACACCGCATTGTATAAGATAGGTCGTGTTAAAGTACTGCTGTTAAATATTATATTCCTTATAAATGCCATAAACCAGCTATTACTACTTGATCCAGATGTAAATTATTCACCAAATGTTCTGAATAGTCTATTTTTTAATGTCTGCTTCAGTGGGTAAATGAGTGTTGTACCATGTTTTGAAATTGTTGAAAAATGTATTTTTATTTTTCAGTAAATTTAAGTTTTCAGCACTTTGCTGATAATCACTCAGATTAGAACTGGTGCTGTAAGATTCGAGTACACTCTCTCTGATCAGAAGATCCCGTTTAGTTAGCATTAGCAATAAGCTAAGTTAACAAAAGTTGACAAGTTAGCAAAGGTAGATTTTCGAGCGATTCTGCACTGTTTTGTGTGTGTGTTTGTTTGTATATACATATATATATATAATGCCCCTTACATAATTTATGAGAAAAATTGTTTAATTACTGCTCTTCTTGCACTTAACGGTCTTTATCGAGCGTGCCGCACAAGCCCTCAAAAGTGAAGCCAAAACGTCTCGATCGCCCCCCTGTGACCGGTCCTAGTATAGCTCATAACCCCCGCCTCCCCATGTTATTCAATGGGACGCGAGACCAACTAAACAATTAAATTACACTTCACATATCCTTTTTCCAAAGATAGTTTCGGTAATTTACTGTAGTTTCTATCACGTTGATGTAATTTCAAGTGTTCGTTTTTAAAATAAGTTTGTTTTTAGTTAGTTATGTGATGATAAAAACGGTGCTCTGACATCATGATTGGCAGCTGTGGTTGACAGGTTCTCTGAGCGAGGTAATCACTGAAGCACCAGCGGACTTTTTTCATAATGTTGATTATGTGGTTAGTAGTTGTATTTACCTTATTTTAACGAGGTTCTGCAATCAGCAAACATCATTGGAGAAGAACGAAGCAGACAGAGGACACTTAATGAAAGTGCGGGGCGTGTGCTTGCGTTTGATTCAGCGCGAAGGAGGGCGCGGCCTTGATTTCGCGGCTTTACTTCCTGCTCACGACTGCGCATGACTAGTCCCGAAACACGCAAGTGCGCACTGACTCAGGTCCCAAGATGTCAGCGTCATATCGAGACACTGGCGGCTTCGACCCTCTCTGATGGAAAAAAAAAAATCCTCTCTGATGGAAAAGAGCGAAGGGGCGTCGTCCATCTTTTTTTTTTACAGTCTATGGTCTTTATCTTTACTAGTTCCTAAGCACAGTCAATGTTTACATTGTGGTCTAGTGCGCATTTAAAGGGACGGTTCACCCAAAACTAAAAATGATGTCATTTACTCACCCTCAAGTTGTTCCAAACCTAAATTAATTAATTTTTTTCTGCTGAACATAAAAGATATTTTGAAGAATGTCTATAACCAAACAGTGGCTGGACCCCATTGGCTTCCATAGTATTTTTTTTTTTTAATATATTAAAGTCAATTGGGGCACATCAACTGTTTGGTTACTCATGTTCAGCAGAAGAGAAATTATATAGGTTTATTACTTTAGGGTGAGTAAATGATAGTAATAATAATAATAATCCCCATAAATTATTATATTCCGACAGACGTGATACCTTTTTGGTTTCACTTGCCAAAGCGATCTCAGAAACAGCTTAGCTTGGTAACATTTAATTACAAAATACCTCAATTTTGGCCCATTTGTATTTTGTGGTGTTTTGGATTACAATTTGCAAAGAACTGACTGACATTTGGCTTTCAAGTGTGGACAATGTGCGATCTAGAGCGATCATACTAGTTCAACTTCTTACTCTGTCCTTTCATTTCAGTTACAGATGTTCCCATCTCATGTGAATTGTGTGGTTTAGCACGTTTTCCAGTCTGAGACCGAGCTGGTTTAAATTGCACTGTGTCTGTTTTTCATTAAGTGGTTATTTCATCCATCGCAAGGTTTAGACTCAATTGTCTGGTCATTACACATGCCATGTTTCTCTTTAGCCATGATGTTCTCAATGCATCTTTCTTCTCTTTCCCTGCTGAATCTGCCATGTATTTTCATTACACACCAAGTTTGTGAATCTGTTAATGTTTTATTAAACAAGAGAAACAAAGACCTCTACCTCCTAATATTTCTTGACTGAAATAAATCATTTTATTTTACTTTTAGTGGAAACTATTAACATAAAAAAATCGATTTCAGTTTGATGTACAACAATGACGTTTTTGTATATTCAACAGTTTTGATAAATAATGCTTTTATTGACATTTGTAGTGTACAATAAAGAAAGGTGGTATTTTTTTCCTTTTCTTTTTTGGCTTTTCATACATTGCAAATTTATTTCCATCAAACCAATAGTATGTAAAACTGAGCAGATCGTTCTTTGAAATGCTGTCAAAATGCAAAGATTTTCTGAGAACTACAAGTTCTCGTTTGTTTCAGCATGCATGCTGTTACTCTTTGGGCCGGCCAACAAAAAAACCAAAAACAAACAAACAAAAAAACCGATGGAAAAAGGCTATGGTTAACAAAATATATAAATGTCAAAATATACAATACTGCACATCTAGATAAACAATGGCAAAGGTGGATGCAGGGAGTAACAAAAGGCTGTTTCGAACTGTTTATGTATAGACAATACAGCCTTCATGTGATGCCATTTATTTTTCATGAACAGTCTGCTTCCAAAGCTGTCGGCACTTCACCAAAAGCCAGAAACACATGCTTTCTGTCACAACTGTTGACCTGCTAATAAAGGGCTGTGCTGTGGATCTTCATATCAGCTGCTGTCCTCATTCATGCATGGGCCATCTGATGAAAACAACCATATCTCAGAGTCGTTATGCAAAACCATCCCACCTTTACTTTGTTATTTGACTAAAAGATGAACTACACAGTTTGATTGTCATGTCAAAATACTACTTCAGCTGAAGTCTAGTTAGCTAAAGAGGCCTTGTTAAACTCATTGAAGTCAGAATGTCTACATCAGTTTAGATGTGATTGACAATCTAGTTGACCTTTGGAATGTCTTGATGGACGGATCATGAAATTGAGGCAAAGCCCTTTTCTTTCAAAAAGTCATCCACAGTGATTTGCCAAATTCAAAGCACTCCTTATATTGGTAGTTTTCCATTGTGTAAGAATTCCATAATTAGCTAGCTAACCGTTGTAGTAATCAATTTTCTCCATGTGAGTGAAAAATCAATACAAAAAGTTCATTAAAATAATAACCCCTGCTTATAAAGTAAAGGATTCTCCTATCTAATACCACATTACATCAGTCAAAAAAACAACAACAACAACAACAGGATGAATTAGGAAATCTCCTTATCTAAAGCAGGACTCCAGACTAACAAACGTGACTGGGAATCTATAGGCTAGCTAAAAATTAGACGATAAACTGAAACCGCTCGATAAAATTGGTTCTTTTGAAGTGCTTAAGGTTCATATTTGAGAACTGACTTGCAGTTAAGTAGAAGCTTTGATAACTCTGAAACAGCTCTGAATGATTCACTGACAGAATCGGATTAAACATGCTATCTATCAAAACCGATTGATAAACTCGTTCTCAAGAATCGATTGCGCGTGAATAACGGAGATTGTCCTCACTGCAGAACATGAAATCCACGGGGAGGAGTCGGATCCAGATCCAACTCCTCCCACCTTACATATACCTAAACCTACCCAGCTCCACCCCCTGATCCCTAAACCCACCCCTAAACCTACCCAACCCCTCCCCTCAGATCCGGATCCGACTCCGCCCCCTGGATCTCGTGTACTGCATTGAGGTGCTACTGGAATAACGGCACCTCACGATATTATACATAACGAAATAAAGACCTAGGGACATGGTGATCTGAAAAAAACTTGAGATTACAGAAAAAAACAAACATTTATTTTGATTTTTTTGTGTGTTCTCTTTCAAAAGTACTACACTCCCCAAGAAATGTTGCATTCCTGCACGTGCTTGCATTCTCTCGCAAAAAGGATTGTGTTCACCCGAAAATCTTTGCATTCACTTGCATCACAAAAGCATTGAAATATAGTTTACAGTATACAAAAGTTGAGAGCATTCTTAGGGGGAACAAAAAAAGTTTTGCAAGAGAATGCATAAACATTTAACGATACATTTTTTTCCCTCCAACAATTTTACGTTTATGTGGGCTCCGTACGAACCTGAGATACACAAAAACACTCAAGTAAATTTGTATTGCGTCACATTTGTGATTATCCTAGAATCAGTCTGGAGCCCTGCTTAAAGCACATTGTTAATGGTCAAATTATAGAAGGACATAAAACATGTTTTAAAAGTGCGGTCACATTTACAGTTTCGCAAGCAAAATCCAGACAATACTCACAAATTTAAGATAGTCAGACGGATTTACCATGTTGACCAAGTTGCTTGGTTTGAAAGTGACTTTTGCGTGAGCTGTGCTTCATATAATACTACAATATTGAAAATAGAACTTATCTGCTCGCGAAATCCCTCTAATGTGACCAGACCTTAACACAGTGAAAAACTAACAGAGTTAATGGCCCCAACCCAACAAACAGCTGAATTAAGGGCTTCCAAACCACATACCAAAATCCAAACTTTCCTCATTAATGAATATAACATTCATCTCTGAATAATACTTCTTCTTCTTTATTCTCTCCTTCTATTTCCTAATGATGGCTTTATATCCCGTGCACTGCATTGCTATTCCTTACACAATCCTTTATATGATAACATGTTAAAAACATTGGCAGAACACTAAATGAACATGGGCCACTAAAATGGGTGAGAGAAGAGATGGGACAGGACGCTAAATGCAGCGTTTCATAACATTTCATCCCATCACAGTCCAAACCAATGCAAAACAAAAGCTTTATTGGACCTTCAGTCATGTCAAAACCTACCATTATGAGGAACTTGAAGTTGTAGTTGAATTCCTGAAGGCCGCTTGAAATTATTGTTCGATCGTATTGTCTCATAAGGATAATAAAGTCAGTGAAAGAGGTCCGTTCTTGATACTTGTAACAGTAACTTAATCGGCAACATTCCTAATACTGTTCCACAATCTTTCCGCTACCAAGCAAAGCAGTCCATCTCTGAGGAAGCTACATTGTTTTAGCTTTGGAGCAATTTTATCTTACCAAAAAAACAAACAAGGTCCATATTCATGAAATAAAGCATCTGGTGATTCATAAAGCTTAGAGGCGAAACCGAAACTCGTTCTTCGTTTCTTATTGAGGTCCAGGCACTGTGCACCAGCACCCATTTCATAGAACAAACCTTCCCT